CGGGCGTCAGCGTCTGCTGCCACGCGGTGCATCCTGATTCATTGGGCCTACTGACCGGGCATCTGACGTGGCAAAACTTTTTTAAATTACATTTTGACCTTCCGGTTTCTGATTTTCCTTTTAAAAATACTCTCAGAACCCAAATTTTTACCCATTTTCTCCAAAAAAAAATTTAATTTCATAATCCTTCAATTTTTACAATAAATTAAATTAAAAAAAATTATATTTATTAATTTAAATTACATTATAATTTTATTTTGGAGTGTTACAACTTTTATATATCGTTGAAAGTGATGAAGACTTATGATCATCTAAATTTATGGCATCTTATCTTAATATGATTGTTAATTCTCTCATGCATGGAACGTGATGGTGCTCATAACTCAACTTGGGATGCGGGATGTTACAATTGAACTAATTTTTCAAAGAGTATAATACTTATCAGTGTATAAACAATTTAGATAGTATACTTCCTATAAATTAAGATTTTTATAAAATTTAATCCTCTTAAAGCATAAGAAAAAAAAACTTCAATTATAAATCTCAAAATGATATTGATTTATTGGTTCAAATAGTATTCTCAAAATTAAAAAAAAAATGGACAGATCAAATAACTTGCTCTTCCAATTTATATCATTTATCAAGATCAGGCTTGTAGTTTCTTTCTTGAGGAATATAAGGAATTGATAAGAACAATATCACCAATTTAAATTGCATTTCTTTATGTTTAATAATTTAATAAAAATAAAGATAACACAAATAATATTCTAAATGGCTAATAAGTCCATCATGCACATATATTAAAATTCTAAAGTTAATTTTAATACAAGTGGCAGCTATATAATTAATCAAGTAAACTTTTATAATTATTTTTTATAATTAAGAGAGATATTCAATAAGTATTATAAAATCGTGTTTCAAATTATTACAGATTCTTTATTTAAATTATAAGATTTCATTTGAAAAATCAAATTCTAGATAGTGATAGATCCTTCATTTAAGTTAAAGATTTTTTAAATCATAATATAAATGCTATGCTACAAACGCGATTAACAATAGAAAAAACTTATTCTTTTTCATTCTTCTGTACTTTCATGTACAAACACAAAATTTAGATATTTGATGTTAATAATTCCAAACGCCAAATCTTGAGTTATGAGGTTTAAAAGAGAAAACCTTCGAGAAGATCTATGCCAGAAAAATCTTGCAGGGTCCAAGACCATGTTGCACTTGTTTCACTTGGTAAGGTTTTACGCATTGTTATGTCATGGTATATAAGATATTTTCTCAATTCATTTTTTTCTGCATTTTAATTCTATTTGTGTTTATTGTGTAAATATATACGGAAATAGTGATGCATATTTTGTCAATAATATTTAGAGGAGGTTAAATTATAAAATACTGAAGTAAAATTTAAATTTAATGAAATAAAATTTAATGACAAAAACTCTTTAGTTAATAGAAAAATAGAAAACCTCGAATAAAATATATATATATATATTATGTCATAAATTTAATATAGTAAAAATTTTTAAGACTCACTAGAAAATAGAGATTATAGATAAAATTAATTTATTTTACAAACTTGTCTTGTTTTTTGTCCAATATCAATATATATGATGTCACAAAAAAAGATAGTTGTACTAAAATTTATAAGGTTATTTTGCAAAAAAAAAAAAAATCAAACTAATTAGACAACTTATTTTAATTAGAAAAGATAAGTATTTTATTTACTACATACTGCCTATTTATAATATTAAATCAGTTTTTTAGTAAATTTTTATACAAATTATTTGACATTTAAATGACAAAGTGATAGTTATATTTCAAATTTTATCCTCAATTATATATATCTACACATGTTTTATCCTAATTATGAAATTTTCTAGAAGCTAAATTCTATCTCAATATAATATATCTATATATATATAATCTTAAATTTAAACTTTTTTGGCAGATAATATTCATATATAGCACAGCATTTGTATTAAAATAGTCAGTAGCTTGCTATTTAATAGTATCAAATTTACTGTCAAAATGACTTTTACTAAATCTAAACTTTTTTTACAGGTAATATTTATATTAAAATAGTTAGTAGTTAGGTATTTAATAATATCAAATTCACTGTCAAAAAGATTTTTCATAAATCTAAATTTTTTTTATTGGTAATATTTACATATAACACAATATTTGTATTAAAATAGTTAGTAACTCAACATTGAATAATATACTACTAAAAATATTTTCCATCACAGCTCATTTATATAAATATATAAACCCTTAAGTTTATCAATATTACAAAGAAGTCAACTAACTTATTTCTAGAAACTATTTTATATTCCTCAGCATAATTAATTCTTAATCTCAAAATTTTTAGTTAACTTTTCGAAATAATTAAAAAATGAGGATATTAAGATAGAAAAATTTTAAAATAATTAATTCTAAATCTACAAAAAGAATCATTAATTAAATAGTAATTCAATTAACTATAATCGCTCTATTAAAAGAGTAAACATTAAATTTTTTAAACTTATTTTGTATACACAAAAATAACTTGAAAAAAATATTCTTACAGTTAAAGAATAGAAATGAAATAGGAGAAAATTAAAAGATTTTTGATGAATAGATGCTTTGTTATTGAGCGTATATTTCAATTATAATGTAAATAGAGCCAAAACTGAAGATGATCTCGAGAGTTGAGGTGAGAAATAGAAAATAAAGAAAGGTTATGGCATTTGCAAACTTCAAAGTTATCAAGATCTATAGACAAATTACATTTACATATATGTATTAATTTGATTTTGCCAAGTTACCCCTAATTTGTCATATAAAAAGCTAAGTCACCCACTATTTCATTTACACATTGAAAACAACTGCTTGTATTCCTTCTCCAAATAATGCATTGTTATTCCTCCAATGCCAACTTTCTCATCCCCAATAATGGATACTAATGCAGCTGCAACAGCGAATGAAACCCAAGCAAATAATGGAAGGCTGGTTCTTCACCCAAGCTTTCTGCCATCACCGGAAACATTGGCCAAAATCGAGCAAAAACGCTCGACTCACCAACATAGAAGGGCTACCAGCATATTTTTTCACACGACGAACCAAAGATATAGTTGGCTACTCCCATGTTGGTTAGTTGAAGAGAGGAGGATGGTCATTGGACGGATCTACAGGGTAAACACATATAACTTTAATTATACGTGCTATTTTTTATTTTATTTTATTATCCTTTATTCACTAATTAAATATTTATTTATTTATTTTCTCTATGAATATATGTGTATATATTTATATATATCTTCTTAAAATGTGGTTACTTAATTATTAACCTACTTCTTTCAAGTTAAATAATTAAACTAATTATTAAATAAAGAGATATCTGTTGTTGTTCGATAATTTAATATTATGATAATTAACGCATCTATACCATCTAAGTTTTTTTTACTAATTGTTATTATATATATTTTTTGAAAGTTAGAAAAACTTTATTAATTTTACAATACTCTTAAATATCTTATAAATTAAGTTCTCTTATGTTAATTAATGCAGTATTATTACGATCCAAATGCAAATATGTACAACAGTAGATACGACATAATATATGCTTGAGATCAACTATTAATAATTCTCATTGATAATTGGGATGAGGAGGTATGTATATATCTTTAAAGTTTAAAATATAAGTGTTATATTACCGGCATGTATATATATATATATATATATATATATATATATATGTATATGCACATTTATATTTATCATAATTAATTAATTCAATTTGCTTTTTTTTTATGACAGGAACAATGAATCGACAAGTCGCTCAACATGCTTCTAATAACTTGACTTTTAGGAGGGAACAATTTGTATACATTTTTTTGTGAGATAACAAACTTGAGAAAAAAATAGATCTGAATATACACATGTTATAGTTAGTATTTCAATTATTAATATATTAGGTGAGAACTTGAGATTGAATTTTCTTTGTAACTTTATATAAATATCAGTAATAAAAAATGAAATATTATTTGAACATTATATATAAGATAATTTAAGAGTGGTTGAATATCTCTCAACTATATATATATATATATATAAGTACGTTTTATAAAATTGAGAAAAGAAAGTTATTTTTTTAAAAAAAATTTGAATGAAAAGAAAGTTATAGAATTATAAAAAGAACCTTATGAACTTTGAGCCAAACTAGTAGCAATGAGTCTCAAGTTTAGAAAAGAAAAATTAAGAATAAAAGAAAGTTATTGGTAATAAAAAAATGGACATAATTATAAAATTGGAAATTAACCAATGTACATAATTTCACTATTTTTTCAGATTTATTTTTTAATTTTAATAAAAAGTAAAACAAAAATTTAAATAAATACGTAGTAAGTAGCAATTAACTTCTGTATCTTAATTTGGTTTTACAGTTGTATACAACTATTTATATACAGATAGGTAATAACAATACTATATAAAATGTACAGTTTATATTAAATCATTTGAAATATTGTTTTTAAAATAAATCATGTAGAAATAAGCTTATAATTGTATTAAATAAAATCAAATATTTATGATTTAATTATGATATATGAATCTTATTTTTAACTTGTACGTTGATTTTAAATAAATATTTTATTAATATTAATATTTTATCTGTAATTGATATAAAATTATATTGACAGAGATTAATTTAATAATATAAATATTTTGTGAAAAATAAAATATTTTATCTATTTATCATTCGGATATTATACCTGACACAATCGCATATGGATGATGAGGTTGAAGAATAAATCTATTGGCGTGTATTTATTTCCTGTCAAAAAAAGCTACGAATGTGTTTAATGTGAAATTATGAAAAGTCGAACAGTCAAAGAAAAGTAAAACTAAAATTGTACGCAATTTTAGAATCTAGCTGTCGATGAAAGCTAAATCTATGGAGAAAAGCAAGAACAGTCAGTCAATCTTTACGACAGCTTTCGTTATTTAACTTCACCTTTTTTAGTCACATATTATCCGCCATAGATATAACTTATATACATATATATAATTCCCCAACAAACTTCACTTTTCCACCCCGCCGGCCTCATCCACAGATTCCCCAATGGCCGCGACGAGGATTTGCACCATCCTCATCCTCTTCGCCACCGTCTTCCTCCACCTCTCCGCCACCATTTCCGCTATTGGAGTAAACTACGGCACCTTCGGAAACCTCCCTTCCCCAACCCAAGTAGCCAATTTTCTCAAAACCCAAACCATAATTGACAGCATCAAGATTTTCGACGTCAATTCAGACATACTCAGAGCTTTTGCCAACACCGGAATCACGGTCACGGTCACCGTCCCCAACAATCTGATTCCGGCGCTTGTAAATGTTCGCGAAGCTCGCAGGTGGGTCGCAGCCAACATCGCTCCTTTCCATCCACAAACCAGAATCAACCGCATCTCAGTCGGAAATGAAGTCCTGCTCACCCTCGACAATAATTTAATTTCCAATCTTGTCCCCGCCATGAGAAGTCTCCACCGAGCCCTGATGCGCTCTGGAATACGAGACATTCAGGTCACAAGCGCACATGCACTTAACATAATCGCATTCGACCTCACCGCTTCACCGAGCTCAGTCCGGTTCAGACCGGGTTGGGACGTGGGGGTTTTAGCGCCAATGCTCCAGTTTTTACGGCAGACGAGATCGCCGCTAATGGTGAACCCGTATCCGTATTTTGGGTTTGATCCGAACAATGTAAACTACGCGATTTTCAGGCCGAACCGAGGGATCCGCGACAGATTCACAGGCCACGTATACAAGAACAGTTACGATGCTTTAATTGATGGGACATACTCGGCCATGAAAGCTTTGGGTTATGGCGACGTGGGGCTGGTAATCGGAGAAACGGGTTGGCCATCGGCGTGCGACCAGTGGTTTTGCAGCCCGGAAATTGCAGCTGGGTTTAACAAAAATGTGATATGGAGAGCGACAAGACAAGGGACGCCATTGTTGCCTAGAAAACGATTCGAGACTTACATTTTTGCTTTGTTTAATGAAGAGTTGAAGCCAGGTCCAACTGCAGAAAGGAACTGGGGATTGTTTAGACCAGATTTCAGTCCGGTCTATGATGTCGGAATCATGCGAAACGGGGTATGATTTGTTCTCTTTCTTGCTCTTTACCTTTCTTTATTTTATTCTTTTCTTTTCTGTTTTAAATTATGAAAGTTTTGATTCTCGAATCGACACTTTCAAATCTGTTTGAATTAAAAAAGTTATTCGGCACTAATCAGTATAAATATTAAGATTTGCAGGTCGGGTCGGGTCGACCCGTTTTCTGTTATGAATGAGTTGGATTAGGTCCTTAAACAGTTCTTGGACCCTAGCTCAGCAGCCCGTACTAAATGAACACGGCTGAGCAAGCATATATGTCACTTTTTTTGTTTTATGGTTTTAGAAATTTTTTATTAATATTTTAATTAAATCAATTTTTATTATGACTATTTCGATTAATTTCCGAGTGTTTTTTTTTTTTTTTTTTTTTCAATTGCTAACCTCTTATTTTTAAAATTTAACAAAGTCTGGATGAGCCTAATAAAATGGGTTAGCTCGACTTCTCCCGCCTAACCGAGCTAGGCCAAATCCAATCTGTTTAATTAATTAACAAGATTGAGTTAGTTCAGATTAAATTTATAATATTTAATTCAGTTAATTTATATTTAATTTATAAAATTATAATAATTAAGTTAAATTTTATAATTAGTGATTCTGACAACAGGACATTTTATTATTTAAAATAATTGAGAATTATTTTTTAATTACAAATGAAAGAAGATTGGAGATTAAGGAAAATGGGAAATTGCAGGGTGGTGGAGGACATGTAAGGCCAAGACCATTGCCAGGGAAGAAATGGTGCGTGCCAAAACCTCAAGCCAACAATGCACAGCTGCAAGCCAACATAGACTACGTGTGCAGCCAAGGAATTGACTGCCGCCCTATTCAACCCGGCGGTATCTGCTTCAACCCCAACACCTTGGCCGCACACGCAGCCTATGCCATGAACTCCTTCTACCAACTCCGAGGCCACGCCGCCCATACCTGCGATTTCTCCGGCACAGGTCTATTAACCGCGGCTGACCCCAGTAAGCTTTTCTCTCCTTTTTTTTTTTTTGAATATTATAATATAAATAACTTTTATGTATGTGATTATTTTAAATGTGTGTGTTTGCTTGTTTTGCAGGCTCTGGATCATGTAGATACATATGATGGACCTGAATGTCTAAGTATAAGAGAAGAACAGCACTTTGTAGAGCTTGCAGACTCTGATTCAAGATCTTGATGTGGCAAATGCCTTTTGTTTTTTTTTAAAGGAAATTCTTTAACTCATGAATTGTGTCTGCTACCTGCAGATAATTTTGTGTTTAATTTATTTTCAGAGTTTCAGAGATGATCACCAATGGCATTATTTGTTTCAATTTAATTTATTATTGTTAATATGATCTCTTTTTTTTTTTTTGGATGTTCGTAGTTAAAAATTTTGCATTATATCATATTAACATTATGATTTTATTCAAATTTATTATATTTTCATTTCATTTTTACATTTTAGTTATGTAATATACTTAGTTATAATTTGATATTTTTGTTCACAAATCTATTACAGGATTAATATATTTTTATTTTTATTTTATAAAATTAAAATTTCAACACTAAAATTTAATATATTTTGAACGTGTGTAATTATTTGAAATATGAAATAATTAGAAAATAATGACAATATTTTTGTTGCATTTGTATTCAATAAATTGAATATCTTTTCATATATATTTGGATTCAAATCTTCAAAGATTCCCATTACATTTATATGAGAATATTTTAAAAGTGCTAAAGAGAAGGTTACAGTTGCATCTGATTCCATATATATATATATATATATATATATATATATATACTATACTAATTTATTCATTAGCAACGTGGAATATATATATATAATATTTATTTCTATATGTTTTTATTTAATTTTTATATATAATCAATTCTAAGTGACTATATGTTTATATATATACGCATATGTACATACACACAAATTTATT